ACGATCACAAAACTGTTTTCACAGAGTTTTGTTATTATTCCCTGGTAGGTTAAGGCATGTTTCAAAAAAATAAACCAAAATAAAAACAACCAACCAACCAAATGAACAAGAAAAAAACCAAACCAAACCAAACCCACCAAAAAAGTCAAACAGGTGCCAAATTCTAAACCTACAAAAAATCTGTTAAGTTCCAGCTAAAAATGCAGTTCCTGAACTTTTCAAAGTTGTAATGCCATGTCCACTGGTTAAATCTGAAAAATGAGCTGGAGTTCTGAAAATAAGTGTCTACAGTGCAGACTTAGAGGGGACTGTGCAGCCCGTGGGCTGGATTTGTTTTCCAGGATTTGTTTTATGGCCGTCTCCCTGCTGGGCTCTGTCTTGAGCAGCTTTTAGTTGCTGTGGGGAGCTGGCTGTGGACTGGCTGAATGGTTGTGATGGCAGCAGCTTCCTCCCAGCAGTATGAGACTCCTCTCCTCAGTTCCTGAGCAGAGTTGCACCTGCCATGTACAGCACTTTGGCCGAGTGGAGAATCACAGATATCCGCAGACAATGTTGCCAAAACAACTAATCCAGCCTGCAGCCTGCTCCAAGGAGCCAGCAGCAACAAAAGGGTGGAAAACAATTACACAGAGGGGTGAACAGGTCTGGTATATGTATGGGTAGAAGCCAGACTCTCAAAGGTGGTCTGTGACTCTTCTCTTGCCGAGAGAGTAAAATCCAGCCAGCCTGAAAATCAGTAAGGGATCTTCACATCAGTTTAGGTTACAAACACATCTAGTTTTGGAAAAGGAAGGAGATACAGCCTATGGCCTCCCTAAAGGGGTGTGTGACCTGTGCTACAGTCAGTTTGCTTTGTGAGACACCATGTAGATCAACACAGGGCCAAATTAAGTGTGAAAGCTCTTGAGCTGTGCAATAAAACTATATGGTTTCCCCTGCACAGAACTGCAGGGTGAGATGTGCAGGAGGAATTAAATGAGAAATTCCTCTCTTTTGGCAATCCTTGCTCCTCCAACACAGTTAGAAGCTGCTTAGTCATCTTCTAACAATCTTGCCTGCAAACAAAAGAGGGTTTTTCAGAAAATTAGTGTATCCAGTGGGAATACTAACAAAGGGAATTGTATTTTCGGGGATAGAAATATTTGCCCCACAAAGCAACAAAACAGACTAAAATAGTCAAATGTGAAATATCTATGTGGCTGAAAGGAACGGTCTTAAAACTCTCAGTTTGCAACAAATTGGGCCACAGCTGAATAATAAAAGTAAGAATTAAAATACCCTAGAAGGCTGTTCCAAGAAGTTCTCAACTATTAAATGTTTCCATGTCTTTTGAAGATGTAGGGAGAACTCCTGGCTTAATGACTGGAATAGGCCTGTCCTAGTCTAGGGGAACTGAAGGAGCTCAATATGGATTCAACTCCTTAGATTTTAAAGTTATAAGGAAGTGAGAGGTTTGTTTTGGTGAGAATATATAATGGAGCCACATTTTCAGGCTTGCTGTCAAATCTACAACTGTGAAAGTTAATAGGACATTCATCTCAACTGACTTTTTTGTATCCTCATTTTATCTGTTTTGCCTTCTTTTACTTCTATTTTTTGAAAAGTATTAAAATAGAGTTGCTATCTTTGGGGTTCTTAAGGCTACTCCTGCTTTGGATATCTGTGTTTCATGAAGTTTCTCTCTTATCTACAATCTGAAGGTTTTATAAAGGTCACTGCCATAGCCAAAGAGCCAGAGAAGATTTTAGGAGTTGAGATGTTTTTGAATCAAGATGAAGAAATTCTGGTGAAAAGTTCAAAGGTTTGTAAAAGAAGGAAAAGATGTACTAGACCCACTTTACAGCACAATCTGAACATCTTGTTTGGGCTGTATACAGTGTTCAGAAGATCTATTCATTAGCAAGATTTCTTCATGAAGCCCAAAATATATTTGACCTGTAATTATTGAACAGATTTTGTTTAACTGTAAATGTGTTACATACCAATCTGGTTCTGCTGGAATGTTTGTTTATCTTTTTGTAGTATGTCACAATTCAAGGCGTTTTCATTCCTGCCCTTGCCTTTTCCCCTAAATGTCAAGGACCCTGCTCGAAGTTACCTCAAACCATTCTTCAAAGATGCCAGTTCACAGGCTTTGAACTGTGAACAACCTTGACCATAGATTAGAAAAAACAGAAAAGTTTGAGTGCCTTCTGTTGAAAAATCTGTGCAAGAGTGTAGATATAGCACTTCAACTAAAGGGTACACAGGAGGTGGGGACAAAGCCACCCTCCTGGGACACCTCCATCTGACAGCAGCTGGGACACAGCCACGCACAGATTGCAGGTTGCAGCAGCAAGAGAAAGATTCCACTTCTCTCACAGAAGGAAGATACCAACCTTGGCAAATTCTGCACACTGACTGCAAGCCAAACAAGTTTCATTCCCTATGTACTTTGTGGTGTTTTTCATCATTATGAAATCGGAGAAATGTAAAAACTATCTATCGATGATGTTTCCTTCCTTAGCTTCTCCCCAGGGGTAAAAGCATGTGCAGGGGAGTATTTTATTTTAGTAGACTTTTTGTTTGGCTCCTTCCTTTTGGGTAATAAATATAAATGACACTTTCACCTTACGCCCCCTAACATAAAAACAAAGGTGTGTGCTCAGCATTTGGAATGAGAAGAGCAGCACTAATGGCTGTAACTTTGCAAGTGAAAGATAGAGGGCTGAGGATGGTCAGTTCACTCTTTCCTGTATTTCCTGGTGTCCTGGAAACCCCAGGCAGAAGAATTCCACGGATTATTGCATAGAGAGGTGAAATGTAATTAACTAGCCTCACCTTAGAAGATAGGACAGTACAGTTCACTGAGTGCTTGTGCAAAATACATCCACCTTATCTACTTTTATCCACAGCATATTCTTCTATATAAAAAAAAAAGTAAAAAGAAAGAAATTTAATGTTTCCTTACCCGTGTGTCTAGGTTATATGCTGTCTTCTTTAAATCCTGCAGAGCCCTCTGCATGAACTCAAATGCATGGCAATCAACACAGGGACGGCCTAGGAGAGCATTTGAGAGAGCATTTAGTAAAGAATCATGACTATATGGCATGAAAAGTTTACTAGAAGGCTTAAACAGTGATTTTGAGTATCTGAAAGAGCTACAGGAAAAAATCCACAGAGTCTGTACTGATGTAGGTACCATTGAACATCTGGGTTATTGTAAATGGTCCATCAGGATGGTCCACCAAATGTCTCAATGACAAAATAATTACTTCAACAAATTTGCACTAAAATTTTTCTTCCTCCTTTATTACTGTGCCACCCTTCCTTGTCACAGTTCATAGTATGAAACACTAACCCCATAACTTGAGTCTTTCATTTTGCTCCACTTACCTCAAACACATTTTCAACCTTATCTTCAGATTTTTCAGAAAAGACCTCTGAAGCCATGAACCTGTTCCCTGGAAAATCTTATCTCCTAATCTCACACACTTGAGTTCTAAATAGAAAGCTAATGGGATAAAACTGTCTGCAATATCACAGACAGACCACTTAGCCTCTAACTTTGAATATGATACAGCTTAGTCTAAACAAATGCCCTGTCTTTAGTGGGCATTGCTGATAAGTAGAACTGCTGCAAACTGGACTTACTGCACTGTTTAAGAGAGCATTCCCAGATCCAGACACCCAGGCTGAAGGCCACATCATCATGTGGATCATCATGTAACACAAAACTGTGCCCCAACAGATAGCAGTACCGAGACAGAACAAATATAGACATGATGAAACGTCTTTGAATCATCAGGCTGTACATATGTTCTTATTTCCCTCTCAGTGGCTGAGCCTCGCTGACAACTTCACTGGAAATACTGTGCAAGTGAGAAATTCTGAGCGCAGGTTTAGTTTGCTCTCTGAGGTCTAGTAAGGAAGAAGGGATGAAACCTAGACTGATGCTGGAAAATCCTGCAGTGTCAGCCCATTTTGCAAACACTTAATGTTGGACTGATTACTGCATGCCTCTAATAAGCTGGAGTATGAGCTTCCAGCTCATGATCTGTGTGCTAACCAGCAAACAGAAATTTTGCCTGCTGGAGGAAAGGAGCCTGCCAAATTCTTTAACCGGTTATGAAAAAAAGAGAAAAAGAGATAGAAAAAAACATTAAGCAGTATTACAGACCTACTCTCTCATTGCTGTACCATCACCCAACTTCAGTGTTAACTATATTCGCACTAGACAAAAGGAGAGAAGTTTTCACATCAACAATTTCAGCAGCTTTCACATCAACAACTTGATGCAAAGACTTGTCATTATGCTTATGATGTAAAATAAACTCAATACAAATCAGCAAACGAGAATTAGGTGTTGAAGGCCACAAGGCTAGGTGTTTAAAAAATGTTTTCTTGGCATCTTCATTGTGGATTTTTTAAATAAAAATAATGACTTTAATATAGCAAACATTCTCAAGAATGAAATATAATGAACAGCCAATGTCGGTTGAAAAAGAGCAAGTTCTCAATAATGTCTCTGAAAAGCAAACAAGGTGATTCCTGGCATAGAAAGGGCTAACACATTGAAAGGGATATACAAAAGAAAAAGTGAAGAACAATGGCAGATTTCAGGTAGAAGCAAGACAGCAACAGGCAAAAGACAAGGATAAGACAGTGGAGAGCCTTGGATGCAAGAGCAAAACAGCACTGGTATGCTATCAAGCTGTGGTTTTAAAACAATATACACAAGATATGTCCAAAATAGTTTGAATTATGTGGACAAGCTTCAGTGATGTGAAGTTCTGCACCATGGAAACTACAGTAGGGTCTGTATGGGAGGGCTGCAGGGTGGTACATACTTTCAGCTGGTATGGCTGTTCCTGCTTCTTGATCAGCTCTAACAGGCTCCATGAAGAGTAGTACAACCACAAAAACTAAAGGAACTGTAAGGATGGCTCTTCTCAGAAGGCAGGGTGGCAGCATCTTGGCAGTGGGTGCTTCTCTGTTTATCAAGAGAAATAAACAAGTTAGTGAGGAACACTGTGGATACAGGAGTTTTGTTACACAAAAATTAATGTTCCTGATGGCTAAAGCATCGGCAGGCTTCCTCTAAAAGAAAACAAAATAGCAGATCTACAGCATGGACAAAACTTTTCTGTACTTTTCCAGCAGTGCCAATAAATCCCAACTGGGAAAGAACATCCCTAGACATGTAGGACAAGATCAGAAGTCCCTAGACAGTTTCTGATTTCATTTGCAAGCCAGGATGCCAACAACTTTGCCTGCTCTGTGACTTTTTTCTAACTACACAGTCCTAGACTAGCTGGTCTGGAGAGCTAGACTAGTTGGACTTGGAGACCAAAACTGCAGGGATTACAGAACTGGCTGAAACAGGCCAGAACCTGGAACTGAGGTCTTTACCCTCTGGCTTGCTTTACTGATGCACCATTTTTTTCACAAATATAATAACTAAAGGTAACCATTAGCATTACGCACCACACTGATTATAAAAACTTGCTCCTTTATAAAAGTAGATAAAGAAAAGACTTTTGTTAAACCTTCAGAAATTCACAGGTAGAAATTCTAACAGTAAACACATCAAAACTCTTTGACCTTCTGTTTCCCCTCCTAATCTGGGCTTCAGACTGTTATTTGCAGCCATCCATTTGTTCCTGAACACCACAGCCAGGCCACGCCATGCCCTGAAGCTGTAGAATCTGTCTCAGCAACAGCTCCCCTTCACACAGAGGTAACTTCTTTTAAAAGTACACAGGTTTCAAATTAAGTAGTTTCTTGACCTGACAGGTAAACTGCTCAGATCAAGAGGGCCTGGCTCAAGCTGCAACAGTCTATTAGAGATTTCAATCCAAGCCTCAAGGATTCTGGCAAACTGTTAAAGAGGTCCTTAGGTACCTTTCATTCCTGTACATTCAAATGGAAGAAAGAAAGAATCAAATAAGACTAAGTTACGGCAATACAATAAAAGCCACATGAAAAATATCTTCAGCTAAACGTCAGAAAGCAGGTCAATGTTCTGCCTCTTTCTGATTTTTAAGCTGGTGCACACTAAGCAAAAGATGTTGCGTAAGAGCACCCAATCTGCATGTACTGAATGTGAGAGTACAGTACTCCCCAGAACAGATTGTATTTCACATTTAGAAAGGCAATAGAGGGAGGCAGGAAAGGAAAGGGTTTTCCCCATCTTGCCACAAACACAGAACAGGAAAAGCTTGCTCTTCGATCCATGCAATCCACCTTTTCAGATGCAGCTACTCTGAAACTGTAAATTCTGCACAAACACTTGCAGCATGTGCAAACCAGCAATTCATCCAGGAAAGGAGCAGCATTATACACATCCCCTTCCTGAGCACCTCAACCTAAACATAAGCTAGGGAGTGGTTCAGAGGCAAGAGACAAACATGTACGTGTAGAGTCACAGATGTATTTGAGCACACAGAAAGAAAAAGATCTGGTAATGTAATTTCTGTAACCTCATAACTGGGTTTCCTATCCCACCCACATTTAAATCTGATGTGATCCTTTTTCTAATTTCTACAATCATTAAAATAAAGAGGTTGAAATTGTAACAAGTGGCTTGGGTTTTCAGTTTTAATTAATGGTGATCTGCAATCAAAACCAGTAGAAACAAAGTCTTTGCAACAGGATGCAGCAGAGTGTCTCCAAGTAACAATAAACTAGGATAATACCAGCCTCTTTTGAAAGTACCTGATGAAGAAGCCTCCTGATCAGTAGGAGCAGAGGCTATTCTCATAGTTGACTGAGTACTACAAAGGTTCATCAAAACAAAGCAGGCATGCTGGTAAACTTTTTAGGGTGCCTTACACATCACCCACCCCAGAGTCAGCTCAGCTTTGTATGTGAGCCCCACTGCAAAACAATTGCTCCCCGAGTGCAGCAATCACCTTAAATCACATCTAACTCCTGCCTCTTAGTTATTCCATGGAAAATTGCAAGGAATAATCATGACAGGCTTCAAGGGTGGTCTCTCTCTGCAGTGCAACTGGGAACGGAGACAGATCTGTGCATAGACTTCTGTGAAAGAGAAAAGTCATCCCCTCTAACAAAGGAAAAAATATCAGTACCTGATCTTTCTCTTGTCTTTGTGATGGTTTCTTTGAAATGGCCGCTGCAAACTGCTAAGAGAACAAGTGCAGCATTTCTGAGCATGTGCACTGTCTCTTTTTAACCTTCCCTGAAAGAGGTTATTACTATGGGGAGATTTCTGCCATGGCAACAATGCAGAGCACTGCAGCACACAGTGCAGATTTAAAGAGGCACTGGCTGTGTCTCCCAGGTCTGGGGAAGGATGTTTCTGGTTTGACATGCAAGATCCAGCAGCGACTTACCTGCTCTGGGTGAGGTTTTTAAAGCCAAGCCACTTGATCTATCTCTGCTGAAGTCTGCTGAATGGTTTTCCTGAAGTCTGCGCAGCTGGTTGTCATGTCTGATTCAAGCAACTTGCTTCCCTAGAGCCTGGAAATAACCATGACAAACTACACCTGCTTTATGTGAAATGAGGACAAACCATGGGATTGCACTCAGGAATTGTTCAGTGCACTGTCTGTCATTTGAATGGTTCTGAGTTACAGGGGTCTTAAGCATTCCTGCCTGCTTTCCTGGGAATTTCTGTGATTCCAGTCCCGAGGTTGTTAGGAGCACGTGCAGGAGTGCAGGCACTTAAACTCTAAATGGGAACTTGAGTTCTGAACTCAGAGTAAACTTCACCCCTATTTTCCAGCCTGCACCTCTGTTCCCTTTTCAATGCCCCATGAGCTGTGCTCCAGGACAACACTGACGGCACTTGGGCTGAATGCAAAAATATAATGGAGTGCAGATTATAAAAGTGCTTTTGTCTAAGCAAAGCTAAGTTCAGTAGTTGCATCACCACCCCCCCTCCAAAAAAACCCCCCCATTTCCCATCACAAATTAAACACTAGCAGTTCTTGTTACAGAGAGAAGGAACACAGCTGAGGGCAGGCACAGCACTGCAGAGCGTGCACAGGACTTCAAAGGGACTGTGCACTGTGTTTGCTTTAGCTGGTTCAGTGGGGACTCAAATCTTCAATGCTGTCACAGTGAAAGTTGGGGGCACTCCATGTCCAGGAAGGTCAGGCACACAACCTTTTTTCTTTCATGATCAGAAAGTCCTTTGCAGAATTATGACTAAATTGCTGGCTAACATTCTTCTTTTCAACATGCTCTATAACCTGTCTCTCCTGTACAGCCCTAGAGGAATGGTTTGTTCCCATTAATTCAAGTAAGTAAGAAGCTAAAATGTCAGGTTGTTCAGTGTGTAACTATGCTGCTATATGAAGTTACAGCATCCATGAGCAGAGTCAAGAGGGAACTAATTATAGTACTGGTATCCTTATACATCACAAAAAACAGAATGCAGGGTAAAATAATTTTTAGAGACTGTTCTTTTGGGAAAACAAGATTTAGCATTGCTCTTGCAGAGATAACCGTAAAGGATTTGGTCTGATTTAGTATCTGCCTATACACAAATTACAAATGCAGAACTTTATTCATGATCATTCTCTGCACTCTAATCTCACAGCTTGGCCTCTCTTCTTGATAAATAACATAGATATTCATATAGACACCCCCCCAGACATGCCACCCCTCTCTCTATATATATACATATGTCTTTTCTTAACGTGATCATTCCCAGTAAATCTTACCCTGTTCTCCTGAATCCTGTCCTTTCTGTATCACAACAGTAACACCAAGCAGTCAACTCTGGTAGCTTGGGTGTTATCATGGATTCATTCTTCTAGAAACGTGCAATGGGCTTCTGGCTGCATTAGTTAAAATTATAAAAATCCATTTCTGCCATTCTCGGATGTCAAATTGCTTGCTCTAAGCATCTCATACCAGGTACCAGAATGTCCTTTCTTTAGCCTTGTCTTAAATAAACTTATCCTGCATGGAACAACTTCTATTTTAGTGTTTTAAAGACATTTCCTCTTTATTCACTTTTCTCCACTCTGCATTATGTTAAGCACTGTTTTTTTCTTTCACTGAAGTTAAAATTTTCTTAGCTGGAAAATAGCAGTTCACCAAGGCTTCCACAGAGGTCTTCCACAGAAGAGTTAGAGATCCCATTTTAGGATATTTTTCATACAATCATAGAATGTCCTGAGTTGGAAGAGACCTACAAGGATCATCTAAGTCCATCTCCTGGACCTGCACAGGACAACCCCGAGAATCCCACCACGTGCCTGAGAGCATTGTCCAAACACTCCTTGAACTCTGTCAGGCTTGGTGCTCTGACCACTTCCCTGGGGAGCCTGTTCCAGTGTCCAGCCACCTTCTGGGTGAAGAACCTTCTCTTGATACCCAAACTAAACCTCCCCTGACACAACTTCGGGCCATTCCCTCAGGTCCTGTCACTGGTCACCACAGAGAAGAGATCAGTGCCTGCCCCTCCACTTCCCCTTGTGAGGTTGTCGAAGATCACAGTGAAATCTCCCTTCAGTTTCCTCTTCTCCAGACTGAACAAGCCAAGTGACTTCAGCTGCTCCTCATACGGTTTCCCCTCCAGGCCCTTCACCATCCTCGTGGCCCTCCTTTCGACAATCTCTAATAACAGTTTTATATCCTTCTTATATTGTGGTTCCCAAAACTGCTCACAATATTCAAGGTGAGGCTGCCCCAATGCAGAGCAGAGCAGGACAATCCCCTCCCTCAACTGGCTGGTGATGCTGTGCTTGATGTCCCCTAGGACATGGTTGGCCCTCCTGGCTGCCAGGGTGTAGCAATTCAGAATTTTGGATACCAGAAAAAGAAACTGCTGGGCCACAAAAGCTGGGGAAAAAAACCTGCATTTGAGGACCAGACAGGTTGTCATCTGTTTGGAATGTCCTGCCAAGATACAGAGACACTCTGCCATGATGTTATCAAGCCTCTACAAAAAATCCATTGTTGTTTTCCCCCTCCCTGTGTATCCTGTGTATTCTGTAAATATTGGATATCTCTCCCCTCTGTAAATCCCCAAAAATGTAATCCTAAAATAAGTGGTTTTTCCCCATGACGTAAGTGCTAAACCCAAAAGGTGTAACTTGGGTTTTTCCCTTACCTCATCCTTGTAAAACCCCCTGTTTGTAATAGCTCGGCCCCCCTATGAATATGTAGACCCCAGACCCTTAAAATATCAGCCTGTAAGTCCAATAAACGATTCCAGATTTTGCCTCCCTGGGATCATGTTAGTTTCTTAGACTCCCACACCAGGGCACACTGAAAAGTTTTATTTTGAAAATGTTGAAATTTTGAAAAATTTTAAATTTTTATTTGAAAAATATTAGCTGGATAATTTTCAGATTGATAATTTCTGGCTTTCTGCTTCAGAATGATTTCCTTTTTAAACTAAGCTTAACAGAGTAAAAATATATTGCATAGTCTGTTCATGGAACTGCAGAGTGGGAGCAGCTCTCATGTTAAAGATATTGAGGCACATCCCCAACAGAACATTACAACCTCAATAAAATCTTTCCTTCTCTTACTTCCCTCAAGCACAAAGCATGGGTCATACAGACACTAGCCCGAGGGCACCTGAAAACTGGAAATACAGACCAGGACTGGAACTACACAGCACCTGCACAACAGCCTTCAGTGGTGATTTCACTGGTGTGCCCCAAGTTGCAGTGGTGGTTATGAGGAATCCATGGGAAGAGCATGAAAAGTGACATTTGGGTGAAAGTTGGAACATCCTGGCTCCCCAGCTGCCCTGGGGGACCATTCATGAGGAAAGCAGAAAGAATTTATAGCTTCTTTTCTATAACGAAGTTGAACACAATGGATTTTTTTTCAAGATTCCCACCAGCTAAAAAACATCAAAGCGCTGTTACTGAGATTTCATTTTTTCATCGTGATAGCACATGTTTTGATACTATAAATATTTCTGTGGGATTGGGAGAAAAGCTCAAGCCTTTACCTCTAAGCCTCTTCACTGCTTGGTATCTCCTTGGTTCTTAAATCTAATACTCTGTCACAGCAGAAAACTTTCTTCCCTCACTAAAGATAACAGATTCTGTCATTTCTCCTGGAGACACTTTTATGTTTCCTCACAGCCTGCCCTCTAAATCATGGTAAAAATCTCCCCGCAAGGTGCCATCTTGTCTTCCATCAAATCCTCTTTTATGCTTTACCTCTGCCACGAATCCCAGGAAGTGCCGCTGGCCGGCAGAGCCTGGGGAGGAATCTGGCAGGGGCTGCGGGCATGCAAATGTGTTTGTCACACCGGTATCTCCCTGCCTCACACCTCCAGATGAGTCCCCCCCTCTTGATCCTGCAGTAATCCTGAGCTGCGATAGCTCGAGGGCAGGGGCTGTGTTTGCACTTGTTGGTGCAGCACCACAAGGCTGGAGTGTTGTTGGAGGCCTCCGGGCAGATGTGATGAATTAATAAAGTCAAACTACCTAAAGCTGATCTCATTCTCCCCCCACTCTGATATATGAGCTATTCATAGAGCAAGCCTCTTATTCTTTTCCTCACAATGTAAAGCTCTTGGGACATGTCAGAGTAACCAGATTAAGAAATGAAGTCTGCATTTGTTCCCTGGACAGGTCTCACCTACTTCGGTAGCAGCAAATAATCACAATTGTTCCTTCTTCCATTTTCCCCACCAGTAATTTTAGGAATAATTTCTTTGTCAGGAACTCCAAATCCTGCGGTTCCCATCTGTCAGGGTATGGATCGCCTGAAGTCATTTTAGGACCCAAAAATCTTGCGTTTCAGCACAACACTAAGGCTGGGCTCACATCCAAGTCTGACTTTTCCATACAGCTCTCAGGGAGATCTGCACTGTCAGAACCGCTTACTGCTTTTTGGATGAGATGTTGATCCAGGGTCATATCTTTCTGCATCTCTGCAGGAGCTGAGAAGCATTTAAAAATCCCATGGCGATATTCAGGAAGGGTTAGTGTTAGCTGAGCTATCCTTGGCTTGCACTGTCCCTATCCACCCTCCTGCACACACAGCTTTGGGGAAATAAGCTGCGTTCCAAGCTGTGCTTGTGCTATTTCAGGGTACATAAGAGTTGCAACTTTAACTAGTTTGGGAAGTCCACAGGGATGTCTTGAGTACTCTGCAGCAACTAGACAAATATGCAGGCACATGAATGGGCTTTGAACTGGAGGGGAACAAACCACTAACTTCCCAAGCTTCCCAGTCTAGAACCAGACTTTAGAGTCCAGGGGTTTCTTCTAACACAAGTGGCCTAGGAAGGTAAAGAGAAGATCTCTCAGCTGAGAAACAATGCACTGTTAGCCAGTTTCCTGGCAAAGGTTGCCTGGAAAATAAAGGAAGTGAGATTGCAAAAATTGGAAGTTTATTGTTGCCTCTTTTTCACCAGAAGATGTTTATTATCCAAAGTCTGTATAAGGGCTCCCAAACTTCAGAAATCAGAAGAACCACGTTCAGAGGGCTCCAGATCCATTCTCTGCTGTAGGAATCAACTCCTCCGCATCTAGGAGACTGATCCAGGATGACTTTTATGACACTGATACTTGGATCTCATT